GAACGGGGCTGCCTGACTAGCTTCGTTATCACCGTTAGGTATCCGCTAGCCTTTTAAAATTGCGTTGTTAAGAAGTTGCTCCGCGCAGTGAAAACTGCACTTCACAATTCCTTTCACGCAGTTCCCGAAGTCGGAAACAATAGACGTTGCTATGTTATTAATAAGAAACTAGATAATTGCTTGCCAGGTGGCGGTGCAATAAATAGTTCTCTAAGGAACAATGAAATGACGACGTTCTACCTCGAAACTAGGATTATCGCTTGTCAAATGGCGGGCGCAATAAAAATTGCACCAACACAATCGGCTCGCGAACAAAGGATGGCGGCACCTTTTACGGCGCGCGCAGGTGCGGATTGCTCAACGAATTGTTGGGCGGTGCGACAGAAGTGAGGCGAGCGGACACGTCCTTTCACCTCAGCGGTCTGTAGCGGAGTGATGACGCGTGTGTTAAACATGAACTACAAGGTATTTCTATGTAGAAATCAAATCACATACTATAGGTTATGCTACTTTTAGACATTAGTTAGAATCCTTTGACGGGAATGGCGCGCTTTCGTTACAAAGTCAAGTGTCAGAATGATTAGTGAGGCGTCATAAACGTCGTCATTTTAGCAAGACTAGTTGCGCCGGTACACCGGGACAGTATCGGATTTTCTTTTTAACACTACAAAGTAGCCATTGCTGCTCCTTTTTTTTATTTTTGAATTTCAATATTGCAATTAATAACTGCTAGATTTATTTTTAATAAAGTGTATTTGTATAATTTATAGGAATAACGTGGAGTAAATCATTCCAATTTATCCGAAAAGTAAATTCTTAACGACGTTGAAAAGGTAAACGAGTCTCACGGCGCATGTATTGAATACTAACTGGTAGAAAAAGTTAATGGGCCACACCTGTTGCTTACAGATTGTGATGAAATCTCCACAGACATGTGTTCAACATTAATGATGTGTTCAAAGTTAAATCAATATAAAGATAGGAATTTAATTAATTTCATTTTAACAATAACGAATCTATTCAAATTTTGAGTTTTATAGTATAGGGGGAATAATAAGAATAATCTACATTTATTGATTCCTTCCTGCCTCGCACAGCAGCGTTGTGGAATGGTCTGTCCTCGGCGGTATTTCCAAACCGCTACGACTTAGGGTCCTTCAAGAAGCGAGCTTATCACCACCTCAAAGGCCGGCAACGCATCTGCGGTTCCTCTGGTATTGCTGATGTCCATGGGCGTCGTTGAACACCTCGGTGTTCCCGCTGCTCGTTTGCCCCCTTCTGTTATAAAAAAAAAACATTTATTGATACGGAAGTCAACATATTGCGAGAAAAATTATATAGAAGAAAGAAGAAAACAAAATAACTTATATTAATCTTATTACATCACTGACAAACTAAAGAACTTTACCAAAAAAGATTGTTAATTTTGAAGATCCCATTAATTACAAGTACTTTTTAATTTCAATTTAACAACGTCCTTCACATTTATAAAAAAACTAGCTAATATCAGATCGTCTAATCGCCCACTTTATCGTCATTGTGAGTCATGTAAGGCCATGATCTTCCTCTTGTTATCTGTATTATAGAATCATCTCCCACGTTTTTGTACATCCACACGTACAGACAATAGTCATCATCGCGATAATAAGCCGAGTTAATGATCTATACTTTTTATAACTACTATGATTGCTGTGAAGTTATGTAGATTATATTCAAGTTATAGTATGTAATTAAAAAAATATAACCCAAACTTTATAGCTGTAAGGGTCCTTTGAGACTGATCGGGGCGTATAAGCGAGCAGATTTTTTAAAAATGTAAAATTAGACTTTGTTTCACTCGCGTAAAGCTCATATTTATTTGCAATGAAAATCTGCTATCTTAACATAAAATAATAGCAGTAAATGTGAATAAAACGATCCCCTTCCTTTGTTATAATGTAACAATATGCTTGTCTTATGACTCCTACTATGAAATAAATAAATGCCAAACATCTTCAGTGTCGATGTCAAATCAAAAGGAAAAAATCCAGAACAGCTGTCGGGGAAACGTTCCGAGACATGATCGCGTGCCAGACTCTGAATTAAAAGAAAAAGTGTGAAAAGAAATCATACACTTATTTTATTTAAGTAATTTTTTGTGTATAATATATTTATTTTATATTTTAAATTGATTGTATTGTAAAATGGCAACACTACAAAACATCTTAGCGCGACATTGCACAACCGGAATTTTTTAGAGAACTTTTTCCGTCCGCAATCCTTTTTAGTTATGCTGTCCGGACCCGGCCGCTGGTAACACAATACAAACAGATGGACTTTATATTATCCCAATTCAAATGTTTTTATGTCCCATTCGTATATTTTTCATTTCTTGAGATTTACTGTGTTTTGTTTTCTATGAAGTTATAATGTTCTTGACTAGCTGTCGCCCGGGACCACGTCCACGCAGAAATAAAAATAAACTTAGTTAATACCCTATGTTTTCTTCTAGACTATGGTCTACGTCTGTGCCGAATTTCATCAAAAGCCATTGATCTGTTTCGGAGATTCTTTGTAACAAACATCCATCCGTCCAATCTTGTAAATTTATAATATTAGTAAGATAATCAATCTAAGAATAAAGTTTAGTAGCAATTACAAGCTAAATAATAATAATTATAACCTGAAGTTTAGGTTAATACAGCCTGACTTATTCTGTATGTATAAAAATGCTGTTTCATGCCGATAATAAATATTTGTTAAATCCATAAGGAAAATGCCATTTTCTACAAACAAATTATACAACACAAAAGCCACTTTTACACTACAATAATATTAATATAATTATATCAGAGAAATCACGTTCCAATCGTAAGCGGTTGTAAAATTGCTGCGGTTTTATTGAAAATGTAAACTTTTGTTGTGGAAACGGAACTAATATTATAATATTTACAATATCAATAAAACTTGATATTTGATATCTTAAATGCGAATCTTTAGATGGATGGATAGAGGGATGTTTGTTTGAAGGTATCTCCGGAACGGCTGCATGGATATCGCTGAAATTTGGCATAGATGTAGAACATAGCCTGGAAGAACACATAAACTATTTATTAAGTTTGTTTTTAATTCCGCGCGGACGGAGTCGCGGGCGAGTTTAATCATTTAAGATAGGCTCCCATAAAAATGTTTAAGCGGCAATCTACTGGCGCCAGTGAAAACCCACGCTGGGATCTATTAAGATGTAAGATAGCAAGGCTGTGTATGAAATAAATAAAAAACTTTACAGTTATAGTTAGTTGCGTGTATTTACCGTAGACTTGTTTAGACGAAGTTGTAATTTAACATTGGTTGCATTTTACTGTAAAGTGTAAATAGAATAACACTTTAAAATATAATACTTTAAAATGTCTGTAAAAATTACTATTACTTCTATTCGTTTGTTTGTTTTCTCAGGCATTGCCGAAACAGAAAATAAATCGAGTCGAATGAGCCTTGAATAGTTAGGTAATTTATACCTTGACAGAGCATTCCTTTCATATAAAGAATCCATAATTTACCTACAAATTAAAAAAAATCGACTTTTATTGGTTGATATCCCATATTTTATCATTTTTTCAGTTAATATATTTTTTATCCTATTATATATTACTTTATCGATAGTTTATTTTATTATTGGATTAAGCTACACTTCTAAAAACATGTTGTTTTTTACGTGAGTTTCGTCAATGGAAACCCACGGTAACAAAACCGTCACTACGAAAATATAGAAGTTTGTGGTTCCTCAACATACAATAACATTCTTTGAACTCAGTACTTATAAAATATTATTCCGATTCTTATACAAACGGCTACCCTTGTTAACATAAGCCAAGGTTATGTTATGGGAAAAATCAAAGCGACGTTTCTCAACAATCAATACACGAGGGTACCGACTAGGGTTGCCACCTTATCAGGTTCGACACGAATACTTTGGTTAAGGATTTGACGACAATGTTTTAGGGTCAAACAAGTCATTCAGTATGGCATTTATTGTTGTCCGCTAGGGATCAAGGGTCGACATTCTTTCTCCGGTAATGTTCGTGTCTACATTTATTGATTGTTAGCAACCCTAGTACTGACAATAACAACCCACGGGGATTCCCGGAATGTAACCGTGTATTGTGTTTCTTGTGTCGGCAAATGCATTATGTGCATGTAATCCCTTACCCATTTATGGTTCTTGAAGGAGAAGAAACTATAGGTTTTTTACACATAGTCGTTTCAGTATTTTTACTATGACAAAAACATTTAAAATAACTTAATCTTAGAGAGTAAGTATTCTTTTCAACTAAAAGAGTGTTTAAAGAACGCGTCAATGTCCTGTTTGTTTTTGCTCACATCGTTTATTCGTCTTTTATAATCCAAGTCCGACTCTGTATATGTCCATACGGTTGTCTTACTAGCTGTTCACAGTGTGGGATAGATCACCCGAACCAATGTTCAAACAATAACAAGACTTCGTCGCTATTGAACTGTTGTATATTGTACGACATCCGCAGTGGACATCGTCCAATGACACGCCAATATGCTATAACTCCAACATTGTTAACTTATCGTGGGTTTCTTAGACTCAGCCTAAAATTCTTGTTTAAAACATATTTTTATCTCTGTTTTGTCAAATATGACAGACAGAGATGACTATACGATGAGATTTTAGTCTCAGAAAAGTTACGGTTTTCTGAGATATATAAATTTGTCTATTGATGTTTTTTTTTCGTTTTTAAATTATCGTCAAATATAAACTTTGTAAATTAAATCCAAATGAAGAATAAAATGCCAAATTTAATACAAAAAAACCCACAAAAACATTAAGTACTCATATGTTAGACGGCCCAAAAGCATAAATTGTTATATAATTATTTTGAAAAACGCATCCCAAAAAAAAATAATCACATCTCCACATTAAGCTTCAGAATTGTCTGTCTGTCTGATATGTCTCATGTTCTTTTTCACAATATTTGCTTATTGTTGTATTACAGAGGTAAAATGTTCGCGCAGTGAAGTATGGACCCTCTGACGTGGCTATCACTGGGGCTGCAGCTGGCGGCTCTGTGCTGTATCGTGGGCGCGCTGTTACTGTACCTACTGCGCAAAGTGCGTGTTGCAGAGGTCTTACCAACAGATGGCGCTAAGACCGTGCTTGTCACATCCGTTGATACTGCTTTAGGTTTGCAGGTACTGTGAATGTTTTATACAATAAAGCTGGCATCAGCGAAGCGAATTAAAAAAATGTTTGTAGGCTATGTGTTCTTCCAGACTATGTACTAGATCTATGCCAAATATCATTGAGATCCGATCAGTTTTTCTGGAGTAACTTTCTAATATTCGCATTTATTATATTAGTAAGATGTGTCGAGTAAGTGCTAATGATATTTTGGAGTGACATATTCGTCCTTTTTGATATCCAAGTAGTTTCTTGTACTCCTGTCTCTGCTTCTCTTGTTCTGAAACTCGAGCATACCTATCAAGGCCAAGTACGGGTATTATTTTTTAAGATACTTGTTAGTAACATGAAATGAAAGTCGCTCACGGCCAGGTCACGCAGAGTGACATTAGTAGAAAAAGTGGTTTATATGACCTACAAGATACTCCAGAGAAGAGAGAAGAGTTACATTTACTTATTGATTGTTAAGTTATATTTCAATACAAGTATAAGATAATGTTTAAGAGTTAAACCGCGGCTTAATATGGCTGCTAACTTTAAATTATAATGATACTGAGAATCTTTTGAAGATACAATCCTAGATCCTTTAACATATTTATCTCTTATCAATTTATATAGCCGTACATACACATTTATATTATATATTTAACTTAAGTTTTTCTTCTTTTCATTAACTTAAATTTTGTTTTTATTATATGTATACCGGAGTAACTGAATTGTTAAATGCTAAAGTGTCGTGAGTGTGGGTTTTGTAATTTTGTGGACTGAATAATATATACCTATCTGAATATCGGTGCCCACGATACAGGCATTGCCTAGTGTGGGCATCACTAAATTATCCAAATTAACCATAAATGGTAACTTAGGTCTAATTTAATTTCTTAGTTATGTGCAATTTTATTATGTTAGTTATTGTTTCTTGGTTTAATCTGTTACCTATAATAATAAAAACTTTTCTTTCTTCTTCTTTCTTCATATTATACTATTGATAGAGATACTCTAATGCTCTTTAACTAATATCAACGAAAGCCTTTGTGTTGCCTGTCGTAATATTCTATTAAAAGATAAGAAGCACAATGCGAGGCATATTTCTTAGCTCATGTCTGTCGCAAATCTGACGCCCGTGGGTTGAAAGCTGATTAACTGTCAAACTCAAAGCCCTTAGCTTTGTATGCTTAAGTACCTTTACATAATATTGTGTGAACTACGGTCGTATATTTCTAGGTTATTATTTAGCTTACATGAGTCATTTATTTGGGTTATTGATTGAAGAATAAATAACAAATCCTATTCATATTTTTTAATGTTGAACTAGACTAAACTAAAACGATATACATTATATGTGATATTTCAAATAAATGTGATTTTGAAACAATGGAATAAAGTGTTAATTATTTCCACAATGAATAATCTAGTCTTGTCATTTGCATGATTATTAAAATCATCAAGCGATACAGAAAATAAATTTTCTAACAAAAATCTTTCAATGTTTCGCTTAAACTGCCTGACTTAATATTGAAGAAGACATTACCACATCTTGTACTGTAAATCTGGGTACTTAGTTTATTTAAAAAAAATCTTTGTGTTTCAGATAGCGACATATCTAAGCGATAGAGGGTGGCGTGTGATCGCCGGCTGCCGTAGCGGCGGACTGGGTGCGCGCCTGGCAGAGTCGTGGCTGCAGGCTCACGTGGCCGCCACGCCAGAAGACCAGCAACCACCCCGCCTCGCCACCCTCGAGCTGGACGTTGCCCGGGAGGATCTGCTTGAAGAGGCTGCAAGGGCAATCGCGCAGCATCTCCCAGCTGGAGAACATGGTATGTGAACAGAATAATTAACTGGATCTCGGAGTTAAATTATTTATATGATTTTAGTGTACAAATATGTGTGTATTATTGATACTTACAAATTAATAGAAAATAAATAAAAACTTGATAAAACTTGTAAAATCTTTTACAATTATTTTCTTTCAAACTTGCCGAAAGCGTAATTTCTTACAACTAGCAGCCAAAATTTTGCACTGCCCGGGAATCGAACCCGGGTCGCAAGAATGGGAATCTTGCATGATACCACTACACCAGCAGTGCTCAATTGTAATTATGAAAAATACCATCCAAGTATTTTTTTTAATTTAAATTTTTATCAAAACTTGGTTTCAATTTCTCGTTTATAACTTTTAAGTGATTATTTGTTTCTTTTATAACCATTGCTAGCTGTCACCCGCGACCATTACCATTATTCACTCACATTATTCATGTTAAAGTTGTTAAACTTAACGCCATCTATTGTGTAAAAATGGTAAGTACCATCCTAGCTTCTAGTAAACGACCACATTGACCATAGATGGCAACTGACTTAAAACTAGGACATAAATCAAAGATTAAAGAATCACAACCACAACTATACTCTCTAATGTTTTAGAACATTCCCGCAGTTGATGATTGTATTAAGTATATTAAGTTAGTATTATATTGATGTATTGTGCAGGAGTGTGGGCGGTGATCAACACAGCGGGGTGTGGAGGGCGCGGTGCGGCGCGCTGGGAGGCGGCACTGCGAGGTAACGTACTGGGCGCGCTGCGTGTCGCGCGCTCCTTCGCGCCTCTCCTCGCCGCCGCCGCCGCAGACCATCCGCACGCCGGACGACTCTTTTACATCGGTTTGTCTGTTTATTAATTAATTACATCCCTAAAATTTAATCAATTCCAAATGTATGTAACCGAGGAAGATAATAATAACCATTTTACAATTGTATTATAAAAGTTCTCTAATATAGGTGCTTTGTTTGTGCATATTCATAAGTTCAAATTGTAAGTTTGTACATTATAGGTCTGACATCTGACACTGCGTGTGAGAGCGTGTCACAGGGATTGGGGCTGGGGGCGGGGCAGAGTCTGGGCGCGCTGGAGGCGTGCGAGACGGGCGCGGTGTGCGCGGCGGCGCGCTGGGGCACGTGGGGCGCGGCGCGTGCACTGCGGGGAGCGCTGCGGGCGCGCGGCGTGCGCGTCGTGCTGCTGCACGCGCCGGACCTCTCCGCACTCGACGTGTACGCTCCGCCCGCACAGCTCAGCGCGCCCAGCCAGCCGGCAAGGTAAGCTAACTTTCATAAATAGTATAGCCTAAAATCTGACACACATAAAGGAACATAGGCGGAAGCATAAATCCTTTTTTAATTGATAAAATGTTCGTTCAGTTGGTATCACGTTTGAATTTCAGCCGACCCGAAAGTCCGAGCTCCGACATAAGCGGTGCGAGTGCGAGTGCGAGCTGTGCGGTGACGATGCCGGGCGAGGCGGCGGAGTACAGCGCCAAGGTGCTGCCGGCCGCCGCGCTCCGCCTGCTGGAGGACGCGCTCACCACACCCGCACCCAAGGACTCATACTACTTGAAACTCAAACACGACTCCTGGTTCACAAGGATGCCCTCCTTGAGGGTCGGACACTGAGCACATCAGTAGGGCGTAGCTTTTTTTACGAATTCACTTCTACGAAGTTTTTAAGATTTGTATTAAATCACGGTTGTTTGATTCTAAAGGTTTACAAATGTTTAATGTTCGAATGGGAGTTCGGATAATATAACATTCGTTTTTATAGTTTTTTTATAACTATATGACAATAATTTTAAATGGTCTCCAATTTAAGTAAAAGTGAATTCTGACTGAAACTATAATTTCATGAGTTTGTAGCGTACACCAGTCTAGCAGCGGACAGACAAACACTGATGATGATGATTATAAAAAATATACGATTTTTAATCGCAGAAAAAAAGAACTTTTTAACATTTTGTCGTTCTATGAAAAATAGTGAAAATAAAAATAAATCATAGGAAAGAAAAAATTCGGAGCTGCGCCCTTCTTACTCATTATTGACGAACCCTTTATTCTTGTAAACAAAAACATACCTTATTTATTAGATATGTTGAACACATTCAATAACACAATACGCACTAAATTATGTAATCCAAACAATATATCAGACAATTAGTTAATATGAATTAACCGTAATTAGTATTACAAATTAAATGAAGTAGGTACAGTTTCCAAAGAAATACATATTATGATATTTTGCTAATATTTAAATCCAGGCGTTGCGTAAAAACAATTTTTTCAGCAAACCTGAATTCGTATACTCATTTTATTATTATTTTATATAATCTATATTCATTTTAATGCTTAATATTCTATATATTTTCGACCCACTGTATCCTTGTAAGACGAAGGCACGGGGCAGTGGAGGTATTGTGCCAAATAACAAAAGGTACTAACAAATTACTAATTTAAACATTAAAAAGTATTTAAATGATAGAAATTGCTTTAATGAGATTTTAACAAATTTGATAGTACCTTTCTATACGATCTTTTTAAGAATGATGGACATTTTGTCATTTAACAACGAGAAAATATTTGCTGTTTTTTTGTAGATGACAGCAAATAGAGGCAGAAGCAGAGGCTTTGTGCCAATTTTATGATAAATGGTTTGATATTGGTTACTTACGTTGTATGTTAAGCCCTGATTTTAACTAACGACTCGATGGAACCATGACTAAAGTAGAGATTAAAGGAAATTGTAGTTGGCTGATTGTGGGTTTACATTAAAGATGTCACAATTGTATGTAAATAATTTTTTTGTTGTACATTAAAATATATCTTTAAAAATTGTTGTTTTTCCTTTTATAGAATAAATTTCTTTTCTATTGAAAGGTTATTGAGGAGATTATTATCTCTGTTCTTCTAATTTCCAGCGATTTGAATGCATCAAATAATGTGTAAAAACGATGTTTCTTATATATATTTATTTAATTATAAAGAAACTTTATAACATTTTATTTGTCCTTTTTTCAGTAGAGGATAACATCCAGGTAACAAATGGTAATTTTCAAATTATAATTAGTTGAAATGTATTTAGCTTGGCACGTGTGGACCAAGAGAACTCTTCTGCCACGCGTGCCAACTGGTTCTGCTAGTTGACAATTTCAATAACATTCTGGTTCTTTAACTTTAAAATTATCAAACGTCAACCAAATAGGATAATTATCGACACAGGTGATAAGACCGCCTTTTCCTATTGTATCCTCTTTATCCAGATTACTAACGCAGGTCCAATACTGTGGAGGTGATGACTTCATCTTCTGCCAGGAAGCGGCGGTGCTGACCGCAAACCTTGTGCGGTCATTCAAATAGCTCACGTATTGAACTGATTCTCTCATCTTTAGTGAGATTGTCTCTATGTTACGTACGCTGCAATTTAAGTTATATAATTATGTTTAATACTACATATTAGCTGCCAGCTGATGTATACTAACCTAAAGTTTTTTGCGCACACAGAAGATAGGTATTCTCCGTCCGTGGGACTATACACGTCCAACACTAACTGCTTGGAAGCTGCGAACTCCTCGTACAATGAACCTTCATTATCAGGAGGTCCCGCTAACATTTCCACGGTCAAAAATTCAGAGTTTGTCAAAAAATTTACTTTTTTCGTGTGTTTTCTAGAAAATAATCATCATTTTAATGTCGTATACACGTTTTAACTAAGGAACTTGGAACTTTTAATATATTTGCTATGAATTTACGAGATTTTTACTATTAGAAAACCTAATAAAATAGTTTTCATAGTTCTTGTCCTATTATCATCTAAATTACTTACTCATTTGAGTTCGTATTATTTTCAAAATCCCATGTGGGCAATAATTCTCTCATTCTGTTTGGTACTTTGACATAAGTGAACGTTGGTGCAGCGACTTGTAGTGCTGAAGCGATCGCATTGATTGCTAATAGATCGATAGACAGACACATTAATAGATGTCCATTTGCTCTCTCACTATCCGGGAATGTTGGACGATCATCTATAGTAAAATTGCATGTTTGTTTAAAGTTTGCATGAACACGGTTTTAGAATTTTAAACTATCGTGGAGACCGAAGGTCATCGGCGCGCTGCGCAGACTCGCGTGAAGTTAGCTCTGACAAGATATTTGGAAAGATTTATACAAGCTAGGCTCAAGTACTTTTGTTCCCTACTTATCAGCTCTATTGTGTCTTTTTCTAGCCCAAATTGGTGTACTGATTGTGATGAATTAAGTGTCATTTTCCTAGAGTATTATAACTATTTTTTCATTATTATTAGCAGTATAACGGTATAGTGTAACTCTGACCGCGCATATCTATCAAGCCGGGCACGGTATGCCCTATCCATACACCGCCGACCTCGTCAGCCAGCAGCACCCCGCGGGCCTGAGATGTCGAGCGCGGTTCATACACCGCCACCGCTAAGTAATCCGTATACGTCGGCTGAAAAGTCATCTCAAAAACAAGGCGCCCATAGATTTGTGTACATCAATTATTTTTGACGGTAAAATAACTAATATTAACGTTTTTTTTACTATGGAAGTGTGACAAATACCTTAGGTAAATACGTACTAGCGAAGAATAAAATTTTGTGTTGGCACACAACTGGCATACTGTAAAAATTAACTGGCGCCAGTGAGCTAAAGCATTCATCTTTTGTTAATAAAGTTTATGAATTAAAGCAAACAAATGAACTAAGTACTGGCATATTATTTGCAGTTTAGAATCAAAATTACACAGGTTATAGTAAACTAAAATTATAGTAAATAAAATCCTTACCCTATAAATAGGTGATAACGTATGTTGCAACATAGAATTGGCAGTTATATATTTACTAGAAGGTTGCCATCTGCCGGCGTTTCTTGAAGTAATGTAAGTGAAGTTACGTCCTAACTCTAAGTATGGCGCAATGTCACTAGGAGGCTTGTAAATGTACCACCTGTGTACAAAATATACTACAAAGTTTTACACGATTTTAACACGTTTAATATCACTATAATTTTTGAATAATTTGGTACAATAACAAAGACATCGTTGGGACAAATCGGTTCCATTGAAAGTGTTAAATGAGAAAATCATTTTTAGATATCCTATAATTATTAACTAAAATCTTGCCTAATGTTTTTTCATGCCAATGCTTTTTAATTTACTAGCTGTGACCTAAGTTACTCTGGCATACGTGAGCTACCTTCCAGTAAAAGTCCCGTCAAAATCAACCGAGACTTTTCAGGTGATTATCGCGAACTTACAGATAAACTGGCAATTTTTTAAATAAACTATGTTCACGAAATATGTTTTTTTTTATTACATAGAAACGATCATACTTAAAATCATGCTATCTTTGAATATAAAAAGTTAAAAAAAGATGTCAATTTAAGCCCGAAAATTGTAACAATTCTTACCATCCAACTGGTCTATTCTCGTTATCTCTGCAATGAAGATTCAAATAATTCCAACCTCTAACACGGTCCAATGGTACGGAATGTCCATTTACGATGGTGCAAAACGTCAAAAAAATACAAAAAACTTGAGAACATGCGAAGTAAGCTACCGATATAGTCAATGACAACATGGCTACTAGCTATTTTTATAGCTTTTTTTACGATGTTGCATAAAATCTTATGAATTTATACTATGCTTACATAAAACATAGTATGTGGAAAACTCCTGCGTAAAACATTGTCATTCTCCTTATCAAATAAACAGAGATAGTTGTTCAGATGTTTCGGCAATGGAAACACACTGTAAACGTGTTAATTTACACACGAACAGGCAGTAACAATGAGCATTAACTGAAACTGATATATTAGAAATCAAATACAAAATTCAAATCTCAAATTGTATTTTGTATGAGTGACATTTGAAACAAAACTGTTAAAAAAATACATCGCTCTTTCAAAAACATTCCTTATATTACAAGTACATAAATAAATAAACTAAAAAATATATATAAAATAAGTTTACAAATTTTACACATACAAGGAAAAGGTAAGTTTTAATTAAGAAATACATTTAAGGGGAAAATACACAATGGCACGTATCTGTGCGAACTATTTCGTAACGTATTGTACTAATACTAGAATATTAAACTTTTAAGGCGAGGTTATCAATTTCTCAAAAAAAAATCTACACTTTTTTTTTATAATTCCACAATTTATCTTATAAATAGAAAATCACCAATTGACATATTCTTTAATATACATTTTATTTATAACGAAATGGCCAAGTTGTTACAAATCATTCTGTTTTTAAAACGTTTTTTTTATAAAAGTTACAAAAAAAAAAGTTTTATTAAAAATTGACTCTAAATTGATAACAAGTTTCACATATCCCGATAAGGCAAAAAATATAAAAACTCCTGGGAATATAAAATTGGTACAAAATGTAAAACCCTCGCCTTAACAGAGTGGCACAATAGATATTTACACTGAGACTTAGTGAGAAACGTTGGTACGATTAGTCCTTAGGTAGTTCGCACTAGCTGCTAGTTACACGTCTGCACGGACTCGATGAGGTGCGCGAAGTTGCCCCACAGGATTGGCCCCGACGTGCACACCGTGCCCCCGCCCCGCGACTCCTGGGGCAACTGGAACCACCACATCACTATAAAGCTATACTCAGTACACCACCTTTTTAATGATCTTTTAAGAATTCTCCGATGAGAGATGCCTCGTACACCAAAATCTGATTTTCCACCTTTTTTAAGTAAAGCTTTTCCTAATATCTAGGGGTGGTGGTTTTGATTTTGCACAGGGAGAGACTAAATTAGTTAAATGACAAATATACCCTAATCTTTCGTCACTTTTTTTCTATAAAAGGGAGTCATAGAAAGGAGAAGATAGTCAGCCTGGAGGGCGTAGTGAACCTGAAAGTTGCCACTTACCGCTCTGTTGATGTCGCCGACGCAGACCCAGTAGTCGGCGACCTTGGTGTCCTGGCTGTTGTGCATCTTGTGAGCGACAGCCACCGCCCATTTGGAGTGGTCGTTGTGTGACGTGAACGACATCTTCGCGATCGGGAACTTCAGTCTTTCGATGTTACGTACCCTACACAATATATAAAAATGAACACATCCCACGGAAATAGTTGAATATACAAAAATTCTGCTTTACAGCCTTTCATTTCTTGGAAATATCACGAATCAAAAATGGCGACATATATGACCTAACGAGACTAAATTAATCATACAACTACACTAGCCCAGTGCTATGATTGACTTCAAACATATCTTAGAATCTTACTTCATTAGTGTACTTACTGAAAGTTCCTTGTGCATTCGGAGTCCAGAGTCCCAGGTCCGTTGGTCCAGGACTCGACAAGAAGATCTGATTGCAGGACTTCCGCCACCAGCCCGCTGTACAGGTCATCGTTGAACATCGCACTCTTCGCAAACGATAAGAATTTACGACCCACTAGAGTCTCGAAACTTTCTATATGGTACCTGGAAGGTTAAAACGTAAATTGTAATTTTCTTCTTACTATTATTTTTCTATCAGGAAAAGATAAGATAGGGTTATGGTTATGGATCAGGGTGGGTGAACAAGAAGAGAAAATATAATTTTTCAGTATACATCTCCAAAGTGTAGTTCTAATTGTCTATGGATACACAATAAAAAAATAATGTGTCAAAGCCTTTTTAAAAAGATTTACTATTTATAGTAGAAAAACAAAATATTTTGTTCAAATTCTCTTATAGTCTTACTAGTCAGATAGTTTTATATTTTTAGCAGTAAAATGTCTTTCTAACATTCTATAAAACAAGTAATAAAAGGGAAACTAACAAGGAATCGAGAAATATAACAAACATACGATATTAATATAATTCAGTTATAATTCCAAAACACATATCCGCTAATTAATTAATGTTTTGATATCCATAATATACACAATTCTTGCTTTACTTACCAAGGTGATGCGTCAATCGTCTTATTATGAACCACATCGACTAAATTCGGAAGTTCACTATCGAAGTCCGGTGGCATATGATAATACACGATTAAGGGTTCATTGTATTTTAGTTGGGTCGCAATCTGATTTAGTGTTGAAGTTTGAACAGAAACACATAGAAATGATTGTCCATACTTCGTACCCGTAGTAGGATAGTTATATGAAGAAACGTTCAGACCATGAACTGGAAGGAAATAATAGAACTTTAACAAGAAAAATATTTTCTCCAAGTTCTGAAATATTGAGTGCTGATTTTCTAAACTCATAGTTAAAAATGTATTTCGCCTCCAATAGACAATATTTTATGCACTTTATACACTGAAATTTCATTTGCAAATTATGATACATTGATGAATCTTACTAAAATTATTAAAACGAATGTTTAGATGGATGGATGGATAGATGCTTGTTAGAAGGTCCATAACGGCTGCATGGATCTCTTTGAAGTTTGGCATAGATGTAGAGCATAGTTTAGAAGACAACATAGGCAACAAAGTTTTAATTCCGAGCAGACGGAGTCCCGGTCGATTGCTAGTTTAGATAGCTAGGATAAGGTTTTTTATTCGACCAAAAGGAACATATAAGCAGACAATATAAGTATATTAAACGACTTACTGTCAGGTAATGGCGGGAACCTAGGTACTGAATGCACCAACCAGAGAGCTGTAAACTTATCCCCTAATATCACCCCCTTAGTGTGTCCGCTCTCGACGCGTGATTTCATGAACTTTGAATGCATTTTACACATTTCAGCTAAATCGTAATCATCATAGTATTTATCACCCAGTTTGAATTTCTTGAACTTTTTAACACCAGCTTGATTCATTTGACCTTCGAAAGATATCATGAATTTTACAAACAACTAAATAAAACATGCCTTTGAATGTGAGTTTTGTTAAAAGTTTTTAAAATAATCTATAGCTGTTCAACTAGAGGAATAACAATTGAACATGCCCACAAAAATATTACATTTATGTTAAATCGGCCAAAAATCTATTACTTATTCAACAAAATAGAGGCTCTACTTCTCACATTTACCCAAAATAACATACGATTTCTATGTATGAAAACATTGTTAATTAGCATGAAAATGAGTTGATAGCATTGAATGTGTTAAATAACATACATACCTCTTTTACTTTTAGAATACATCTCTGCAACAGACTGTAGAATGTCCGGCTGGTGCTCTGTGGCTGGAGGCTGATCATTGTACACCAATGATATTATATTTCTATCCTGAAATGTACCGAAATAAAAGTTGGGCTAAGCGGGATAAATATGTTAATTGACATTATGTAGCTCTCAACTTGTGCTATATATTTTATTTATGACATTGTGGATGTATGAAATAGGAACTAAAAAATTAATTCATGTTATAACATATGGAATCGAATTTAAAAGTTTGCAGTAGTTATTTGTGATTAATAAATGATGAATTTGTTCTAAAAATAAGCAGTTGCACAAACAGGATGTTTTGTTAATCATTTCATGAAGAATTAATAATTAATATTCATATTAATATTGATTAAATCTACAAACTGTTATTGTAAATTTAATTTACTTTTTACAATAGTCTTCTTAATATAATATAATCTTATATACATATAATGATCACTAAGGACAATCCTTAGTGCACTAAGGGATTATTACAATTAAGCAATTAAATGACTCTAAAGGTAAGAATTAAAAATACACTATTTAAAATTACTCTTACTTGGTACAAAGGCATTAAAGTCTTCCCGACCATAGACCGGGAATCACTTATAGCTAAATCTGACATAATCCATCCTCCTCTTAACTTAGATGGAGTTAAGTACATATATGCTACTCCTCTTCGCACCAATGGGTTCAAGTGATTCTTCTCCCGAGGCAGCTTGTACACATAAAACCTAAAGTATTATTATGAAATTATTTATAATACTCCACAAATAACTTGATTACAATTTCCTGTAGATTATTTTTTAAATTTATAAATGCATTTTAACAAACAATTATTTTTCTCTGTATGTGTCATGGGTATTGTGGTTGTATTTTAATTTCATAAAGTTTAAATTTAAAATTTATAAACTTCCTGTCTATTAGAACGCATTTTCAAAATTATGGTGTATTTGAAACATTATGAGTTACACTTTTACAATTTACCAATACCTTTTTTTATGTATTTCTGGTAATTATATGACTACCCTCTCTTTTAGATATTTAGTATTAAAATATAAAACTAATATTTCAGATCATAAAGTTAACTTTAAGAATAAATAATAGCTTTGTTATAAATTAAAGGGCTGGAGCATTATCTTATTGCGCTGCTAACTTAAGTGAGTCATATATACAACTTCTTTGTTTACTTCAATAAAAGTGTAGGAGATATTCAATGAATAAGTTAAAATGACTTACCAATCAACTGGTTCTCCCCTTTCATTTCTGCACTGAGGTGTCAAACTATTGCACTCAGTCAATATTAACGAAAATATCGCCAGTAATTTAAAGCTATGCATCGCGAGACGTGTTTACTTCATGGATGTCCCCCGCGAAGTAATAGGAGACTCAGGAAGTTCACATTAGAGTTGTTTATGATGTCATGGAATTTGATCATAGAATGTATCTACATAGGCTGCAAACAATTGTTTGTTTATAAAACATTGTTAAATTGTTTCCTTTCGTGTATACAAATTGATGTGACGAATCGCCGCGAAATTCATTGATAGACTGCGCCATTATTTATTTTTATTCACTAAACTGGTTACAAAGGTATTTTGTTATCGTTTACCAAACAAATGACAGTGACAGGTAGCACTGACAAGATAGAAAGGTTAGAAAACTGTCACCCAAGCACTTGTTCCGTTTTATTGAATCGTTAATTACAATAAAAATCATTTATAGTATTAATATATAAATCTCACAAACAATATTTTTTACATTCTATCACTTTTTATAACAAAGTAAGATACATTTATTTATATTTTTGGAGGAATCAAATTAAGTTCGGCATTATAAATGTGGTGTAAAACTTACCGCAATTGGTGGTAAAAGAAAATACTGCGCTGGAGCAACAACTAATAGGTCTTGACCTCCGAATGATACAAAAGATCGCTAACGCCGCCTGTCCTACACTGTCTCCCACCAGTTAACCGCATTTTATTCACACAGGTCTAGCTCCACGCCTAATGTCACTTTTCATGTACTATCTCATACCACTTTTTTCATCTACCTCCTCCACCATAACATCCTCTTTACCCTTTCAAAATCCCATAACCCTCCATTCCAGTCGAACTTCTATTTTTAGTCACGCGCTAAATATACTTTTAAGTCAATGCACGATAAAAATATTATTCTTTTTCTTGCATTGGCTTTGCAGGTTTGGACTACCTGTAAAATATGCCAAACGCGAAGGCGAATTTTTTAAGGAAAAAACCAATAAAAATAAAATATATTTTTTTATTAAAATATGACACTTTGAAACATAAATAACAATAACATGCAAAACACGAATCACATAATGGAAGACATTAGAATGTTTTCGTTTACATTTTAAAAATAAATGCTATAAATATTTACGCTTACTTTTAATAACAATGAATTCGATCCCCTTTAAAACATTTTAAACACACGAGAATCAGAAGAGACATATTTATTTATATTTTCATTGTAATCTTAGTTTACTGTTGTGTTGGCATTGAAACAGCTGCTTTTGTATGAGACACATCACTTTGTCTCCAGAAGGAAACCACAGTCTTCAACTCTGTGTAAAAATCGAGACCTTGTTTACCACAGAAGTGGTTCGTACCAAGGAAACTGCCTCTAGTACCGGTAAAGGAGAACATAGAAAGTGGTACAGGAATCGGTACATTCACACCGACTTGTCCCACATCGATTTCGGCAGAGAATTTCCTTGCAGCAGCACCGTTGGTGGTAAATATAGCTGTACCATTACCGTAAGGATTGGAATTAATCATTTGTATGGCCTCATCCAAAGTATCAACAAACAAACAGATTAAAACGGGGCCAAATATCTCTTCTTTATAACATTCCATGTTTGGTTTGACATCAGTAAGGATAGTAGGTCCGACAAAGTTGCCCTTTTCGAAACCCGATACTTTGATACCTCGACCGTCAAGTACCAGTTTGGCGCCATCTTTGACTCCTGTAAAAATTAATGATTTGTTGTGATGAATTGTTATGATAATTATGATCTAATGTCGGAGTACTTTTTAAAATCCTTTGGATAGTCTTAAATAAAGTTACACTTCTCGCAACATATTTGTCAGATGTATAGTGACTGTGATTCCATTCTTATTTTTCCCTGAATCATAGTTGTGGTAAATGAAAATAATCAGGTTGTTTAGTAACTTTTTTTTCATACCTGAATCGACGAGTCTAATGATTCGTTCCTTAGCCTTAGCGGAGATGACTGGTCCGACGTCAGTGCCGGGCACGTGGCCCGCGTTCACCTTTAGTGCTTGCGCGCGGTTCACCAGGTCGGGAATCCATTCTTTAGCTTCACCTGATTAAAAAAAACATTAAATTAACAATCTTTGAATCATCAATACTTCTAAAAAAGTCCAAATTACTGAAATGTAAGTTACTTGTAATAAAAATATTTCAAATCATCTGAAACTTTTTAGCGCCATCTATGTTTAATTAACAACAAAAATTTTGGAGTTTTGAAAAAAAAAACAGACAAAACGACAATGTTCCTATACGGTGTTACACCTATAAACGTCATTATATCATTAATCAAAAATGAAGGTAGAGGTCGAGGTCTCTGGCTATCCTTCTGGGTTACGTGTGTGTGTTATTGTTCAAAGGTAGTATAGATAAAGACATACCAACAAAGACAGCAGTGCTGAGCGCCATGCAGCGCTGTCCGGCCGCACCAAACGCTGCGCCGGCGAGCTGGTTCAGTGTATGCTCCTTGTTGGCGTCGGGCATGATCACGCCGTGGTTCTTAGCGCCCATGTTACTCTGCACACGTTTACCTAAAATACATGAGTTTATTTTATTAGACATTTTTCGTCAAATTTTGGAAAAAAATATAGCCAGCACACAGCATTCATCAGCTAACATCTCGTTAAATCCCAGTAAAAATCAGTCCAGCCATTTGAGAGATTACTAGGAACAAATGCGAACTTCATATGTACGAAATGTGAAAAAAGAATAATATTGTTAAATAGGTAACTATTAAAATGACTTACCAGCAGCGGAGGCTCTGGTGTAGATGTGTTTACCAGCTCCATCTCCACCCACAAAGGAAACAGCTTTGATGTCAGGGTGGTCACAGATGAAGTTCACCGGGTCGTGGGTACCGTGGATGACCTGCAAATCATATTTCACATAAGATAGATTATAATGCTTTTTTCATAAAAAACATTTTTTTCAAACTACATACTTTTAATTTTGAAACCTAAAATGCATGCAAAAGCCATATTTGGTACTTGGTCATAATTTTAAGCATGGACCTTATTAATTTTATATATATATAACTACAATATACACATAAGCCGTGTTATATGTATTGAGCAACATACATTAACAACGCCGGGAGGAGCGCCAGCCTCCTGCAGGAGTTCCATCATCATGAGGGTTGCGCCGGGGTCCTGCTCGGAGGGCTTCACCAGGCACGTGTTACCTGTCACCAGCGCCGGAGGGAACATCCACAGGGGGATCATCACCGGGAAGTTGAATGCAGCAACACCTAACACAATGTTATTTATATTTTTTTTGTTAATATTTATCTTACTAATACTGGATGTATCTGATGAAGGTATCTCCAAAACAGTAGCATAGATCTCGCTGAAATTTGGCATAGATGGAGAATTTAGCCTTATAGAACACATAGGCTACTAAATATTTTTTTTCCAAGCGGACGAAGTCGCGGGCGACAGCTAGTTGATAAACGAAAGTCACTCACCGCCAACAACACCCAGAGGCACCTTGTAGCTGTGTGTGTCCATGTCTTTAGCGATGTTCTGTATGCAGTCGCCCAGCTGCAGCGATGTGATGCTGCAGCAGTGCTCCACCAATTCTGCAACAAATTAATCGCCGATCCATTACCGAAACATACAACAACATATTTTTATCTCTTTTGTGTCATAATATAAAAGAGGGATAGCAATATAACATTATGATAGTTGAAATTCATAGTAGGATAAATCAGATTTATATTTAACGTTGGGTCAATATGCATATTTTTGTGCCATTGTGTACATCGAACACCCTGTAGATCACTGTCTTTAAATCTTTTAAGAAAGCATGCAGTAAAAAATTTAATGATTGAAACTTAAAGTACATTCAACAACACAATCATCGCATAAAATAATTTTATTAAGTAATAGTGTTTATTCATTGAAATAGAAATGTCATTCTTATTATTTACATAATGTACTTTGTATTCAAATTATGTTAATAGGATTAAGACATACATAAAGTGTATGTTAACTGTTAACTATTAGAAAATTAAAACTTTTACATTTTTTATATAGAGATATTGAATTGATATTTTTTATAACTTAATTCCCTTGTGTACAGCGTGTTTTTAAATTACCTTATTTTCAAAATTAAACACAATTGTTTTGTGTTTTTTCTAAGTACATAATTTTAACCAAAATCATTTTATTATTGTAGTTTAATACATACAATATTATTTAAATATTATTGACTTACAAATAATATATTTCATAATATAATCAATCCTTATAGATAGTGATATCAACACTTCTGTAATCACTGTTTTGCCAAAAAAAACTTGATAAGAATTATGTCATGCATTGCCAATAGAATATAGTAAATTTCGTTAAATTACAATATAACAAATAGATAATAGATGCACATACATAATGACAATTTACATTTTTCACCTATAGTTACTTTGGACTTTTAAATTTAAATAGCTAAACAAGTAATTGGTACTTTATAGTAACATTATGACTAGCGGTAGCCTGTGACTCCGTCCGCGCGGAATTAAAAAAAAACAAAATTAGTAGCCTATGTGATATTCCAAACTATGATTTATATGTAAGCCATATTTCATCAAGATCCGTTCAGCTGTTCCAGAGATTCAAACAAACATCCATGGATCTAAAGATTCATGGATATGGATGGATGTTGGTTTGAAGATATCTCCAGATTGATTGCATGGATATTGCTGAAATTTGACTTGATGTAGAACACAGTTTGGAAGAACACATAGGTTAGTAACAAAGTTTTTTTTTAATCACAGGAGGCAGCTAATTATTGGTGAACCTGAATTCACAATGGAATAGATACATGTTTCCAAAAATATCACCATTCTATTTAATTTGAAACAATGTGATTAAAAGGGTTACATCTTATATAAGATCCCTCAAGAGATGTAAGTCTTTTCAAGGTATGATTTGATTTGTTATAATCACTTACGAATGCCCCTAAGAACATCTCCTTCGGCATCAGCTGTTGTCTTGCCCTGCTCTTCTGTGATCTTTGCTGCTAATTTGCTTTGATTCTCTCTGAGTAATCTTGCAAACCTATGAAAAATCTATTATTATTGAAGCGCCTTTTGTTAACTCAACCATGTCAATTGGGGTTCAAGCCTACTCTAAGTTATGGGCTGCTAGCCTTTAGCCCATAGTAAACTACACCTACTGTGACTAGGTTGACATTACATACAACTTTGAATATCCACATAGAAATGTGCAGATTGCATCACACTGTTTTCCTACAATGTAAGAATATTAAACATCTTAATAATATTATAAATGCAAAAGTTTAGATGGATAGATGGATGGATGTTAGAAGC